CTGTTCTGACTTGAGCGTCGGAGTACCTTTTGCAGGTACCTCTCCCTTCCCGGAATATTCGATTGGAGCTCTCGTTCGGCCCTCAGAATACGAGAAGATTACTAGTGTGCCCCTCAGACAGGTACATTTTGGCGCCCACCGTGGGGCCGAACTGAGACAATTGTGAAGATCAACCGAATAGAGCAATGGCGAAAACAAGGAGAACAAACACAGAAGATCACCAAACTGAAGAAGAACATGTTGAGGTTGTTGACGAAATTGATCTTTTTGAGACGGTTCGTTTGTTGAAGCAAGAGATGGCAGCAATGAAGCAACAACGTGAGAAGGATGCGAGGGAACTTTCAGCTCTGAGGGCCGAAAACGAAGCATTGAAAAATCAAGACCCTTCGTGGAAACCTACCCAGCCCACCAACACTCACACCCAAGGATCTTATCAATCCCATGAGATCCATACTTCGGTCCCTCGTGCCTCAGCTGTGGCACCCGAAAAGTTCCCTTCGGCCTTGCCTACCGTCGGTCGTCCCACGGACTTGGCGACTATTGGATCACACCGACACCCTTTCACACCATCCATTATGCAATTACCTTTGATGGATAGCTGGAAGTCCTTGCCAATTGATAAATATGATGGTACAACGGACCCTGACGAGCATCTCGACATTTTTCTTACGCAGGTAATGTTGAGCACCACGGATGACGCTGCTTTGTGTCGGATTTTTCCAACATCTCTCAAAGGCAGGGCATTAAGTTGGTTCACTCGGCTTCCCCCCAATTCCATCGACTCATTCAACACTCTGTCATCTCAATTCACCATCCAGTTCGCAACAAGTCGCCCCCACAGCTTGACTTCTTTATCATTGGTCAGCCTCCGGCAAGACAAGAAGGAGTCACTTCGGACTTTCATGGATCGATTTAATAAGGCCGCCTTGGAAATCCGCGATCTTAATCCAGCCGTAGCACTCCATCACCTCACAACAGCCTTAAAACCAGGACCGTTCGTCAATAGCATTTGCAAGAAGCCTCCTTTGGACATGAATGACCTACGAAGGAGGGCCGATAAATATATGCAAATGGAAGAGCTGGCTGAGTACCGCAGTCAAGCAAGAGCCAAACCAGTTCCAAAGGCCGAAAAGCCAACAGAACAGTCATTCAGAGGATGAGGTAAGGAGTTAACTCTTCGAGACCGACCCACAAGAGGTCCGAAGTATTCTCATTATACTCCCCTCAATGCAAGTCGAGCTGTAGTGCTTGAACAAGCTCTTGCATCGGAGGTATTAGCGGTTCCCAAGAGAGCATCAACTCCCCCTTGAGCAGATACCAACAAATCTTGTATGTATCACCGCAATCGCGGACATTCCACTGAAGAATGTGCAGCCCTAAAGGATCGGATTGAAGACCTTATCAAGCAAGGGCAACTCCAAAATTTCATTGATCGGACAAATACATCCCAGCATCGTCCCACTTATCAGTCTCAACAACGAGACCGGCATGAACGCTCAAACAGACATCGACGAGAACGCAACAGATCAAGAGATCGGAAAGAAGAGCCTCAAACGTCACATAGGCGAGTCATTAATACGATCGCCGGAGGCTTTGCAGGAGGAGGATCAACCTCCTCAGCTCAGAAAAGGCATCTACAAGTTGTCAGGTCGGTTAATGTTGTTGAGAAGCGATCAATTCGGCGGTTACCTACCATCACATTCACAGACGAAGATTTTCAAGATATAGATCCAATACAAGATGATCCCATGGTCATCAGTGTCGAGATACATAACTGTATTGTGAAGAAAACTTTGGTGGATCAAGGCAGTTCGGCTGATATTCTATATTGGAATACATTCAAGCAACTCGGCATTTCAGAGGAAGAACTGATTCCTTACAACGAACCACTGGTCGGCTTCGACGAGGAAAGGGTCAATACCAAGGGTTTCATTAAGTTGTTCACTCGCTTTTGCTTCGATGAAAAAGAACATCGGGATATCCAAGTAAAATACATTGTAGTACAAGCCAACACGTCTTACAACATTTTACTTGGTCGACCCTCATTGAACGCATTAGGAGCCATCGTCTCAACGCCCCATCTAGCCATGAAGTTCCCATCCAATAGAGGAGATATTCTTACAATTCATGTTGACCAGAAAGCAGCTCGCGAATGTTATTTTGCAAGTTTACGGGTGCCACCTATCGAAGAGAAGAAAGCTAAGTCAAGACGAGTTCATGCAATAACTCCTTCCTCCTTGGAATCGGCTTCAGCATGGGACTTGGACCCGAGAATGAATGTGGATGAACGAATGGAATCAACACAGGAGAAAGTTGCATTCCAAATCGGTCCGAAAGCAAGTCAAGTCACATACCTGGGGACCAGATTGCTTGAATCGGAACGCCAAGCGTTGGGCAAAATCATCGAGAAAAATAAGGACCTTTTCGCGTGGGTACCTTCGGATATGCCGGGCATAGATCCCAACGTTATGTGTCACAGGTTGTCCATATGCCGAGAAGCTAAACCGATAGCCCAACGAAAGAGAAAAATGGGGACCGAAAGAGGGCCGATTAAGTCACAATACTTTGCCGAATTCATCAATGAACTACAGTCGAAGGGTCAATTCCAGAGCGATCAATGGGCGATGCACGTTGATGGTTCCTCCAACAACATGGGCAGCGGAGCAGGCATCATTCTTGAAGGGCCCATGGCGGTAACTCTTGAACAATCCATGCACTTCGGATTTCGAGCCTCCAACAATCAGGCCGAGTACGAAGCACTGTTAGCAGGATTGAGATTGGCAAGCGACGTCAGGGTCCGAAGATTGATTTGTTGGACGGACTCACAGATCGTATCGGAACAAGTTAATAATCATTTCCAAGTCAAAGATCCAAACCTACTGCGTTATTACCACCTGTTCCATAACATGTGTTCCAACTTCGATGAAGTACAAGTAAGGCATACACCTAGGGAAAACAATGAAAGAGACGATTAGTTGGCCTGATTGGCAAGCAGTGCTCGCAACCCGGGCCAACTCAGAACTACCTTGCACCTCGAGTTGTCCACTCCAAGCATAGCCTCGGCCGAAAGCATGACAGTGGAAGAGACGAGTTCGACAGCATCCAATGCAACATGGATAACGAAACTCCTTGATTTCATCTTACAAGGCAAGGAACCCGCCGAACCTTTTTCTGCTAAGAAACTTCGAACTCAAGCTGCCAGATACACAGTCATTGGCGGAGAATTATATAGAAGGGGTTTCTCAACCCCGTTGCTCAAATGCTTAGACACAGACCAAGCGGATTACGTGTTAAGAGAGATACATCAAGGGATTTGTGGGTCACATTCGGGTGGTCGGACTCTGGCAGCAAAGGTATTAAGAGCAGGTTATTATTGGCCAACTCTCAAGGGTGATTGCGCACAATTCGTTAAGCGTTGTGTTCCATGTCAAAAGCACGGCAACCTAATCCATGCCTCGGCTGAAGAATTACACAGCATCAGTTCACCATGGCCTTTTGCTCTATGGGGCATGGACCTGCTCGACCCATTCCCTATAGCCTAGGGCCAATGCAAGTTCTTATTGGTAGCGGTCGATTACTTCACGAAATGGATTGAAGTCGAACCGCTTGCCACCATCACAACGGGTAATGTTCAGAAGTTCCTCTGGAAGAACATTATTACGCGTTTCGAAATACCATATGTCATCATCACTGATAATGGACTCCAATTTACGGATCAAAAACTCAACAAGTTTATGACCGATATGGGGATCCGACACCGATTCACATCTGTTGAACACCCACAATCAAACGTGCAAGCCGAAACGGCTAATAAGGTCATTCTCTCTGAATTGAAGAAACGTTTGGGTGATGCGAAGGGAGCTTGGGCTGAAGAATTGTTGGAAGTGTTGTGGGCCTACCGATGCACACCCCAATCAACCACTAGAGAAACGCCCTTCCGATTAACGTATGGTACCGATGTCATGATCCCTGTAGAAGTTGGGGAACCTTCATTTCGGCGTGCTCATTTCGACGAGCACTCAAACGATGCCTCTATCCGAACCGAAATCGATACAGTGGAAGAAATACGCAACAAAGCTCAAGTAATCGCAGAAGCATGTCGGCAACAAATGACACGGAGATTCAACACAGCACTTGACAAAAGAGAGTTCAAAGAAGGTGACCTGGTATGGAGAGTCCAAGGGACAGCCCGCCGAAATCCAAGCGAGGGCAAGTTGGCGGCTAATTGGGATGGTCCGTTTCGGGTTCGGCACAATCTCCACAATGGAGCGTACAAACTCGAAGAGCTTTCAGGCAGAGTTATTCCGCGAACTTGGAACTCAACTCATTTGAAAAATTATTATAGCTAGAAATTTCTGTAATGACAAAGTAATTATCAATGTATATATGCATGGTGCACTCTTTTCCTTGATCGGTTTTTTCTCCCCTTATAAAAAAGTGAAAAGGGTTTTGGCCGACAAGGTTTTTAACGAGACACCCTTTAATGAAATACAGTTCAATTTCCTATATGATTCATTCTTAATCTTAAACAACAAACAGGCTTCCCTCCCGAGTGACCCCACTCGGCCAAGGATGTGCCTTCAGAAATCATCATACAAGGCTTCCCTCCCGAGTGACCCCACTCGGTCAAGGACGTGCCTTCGGAATTCGTACAGGCTTCCCTCCCGAGTGACCCCACTCGGCCAAGGACGTGCCTTCGGAATTCGTACAGGGCTTCCCTCCCGAGTGACTCCACTCGGCCAAGGATGTGCCTTCAAAAATCATACAAGGTTTTCCTCCCAAGCAACCCACTCGGTCAAGGATGCGCCTTTCAAAGCTTTCGCGCAACGGTTTCCCTCCTAAGAAACCTGCTCGGCCATGGATGCACCTTTCAAATTTTACACACCAAGGTTTCCCTCCCGAGCAACCCGCTCGGCCAAGGATGCACCTTTCAGGTTTGTTCACTCAAGTTTACCATCGAAGACAACCCATTCGGTAAAAAAAAAATGATGACAAATAAATTTCAAAAGCTTGACAAGAGAGTTACATAAAGAAGTAAACCGCAAGTAAATCTACATCAATAGCGTGCAATAACAAAAAAAAAAGGCATCATGAAGCCGAAGTCCCACAAAAAACTACAGGCTCTCTCGGCCCAAAATACAAGGATTCAACTCCTAAATTACTGGCCTTGACTCACTTCATCCTCCACCACTTGATCGGTATCAGCCCGGTTGTCTTGAACTTGGACCTCCTCCTCAGTACCTACATGAGTCTCCTCATTCACAGTTGGTTCGGCGTGAGGAGGTAGAGGGGCTTCGGCATCAGCCACTGCTCCTTCAGGCATATCTATGAATGGCATAAATTCCCCTTGATAGAAGTCCTGCCCAATGTCAAACTAAGTTCTCCGGAAAATGGCCAAAAAACCTCGCCTGTCGAATGGCCTGATTGAAACCGGCCTCATGCTGAGTCACAATACGATCCTTAGCATATTGCTTAAATTCAACCAAATCAGCCTTGGCCTTCTCACTCTCCACCGTCTGACGTTCCCCTTCAGCCACAACCTTTTGAACATCCAATCGAAGTGTGTCGTTTATTCGCCGTAATTTGTCCAGTTCGATGGAAAGCTCTCTGTTCTTGCGAACCAGCCCATCATTCACCGACAAGGCCTCAACTGTAGCCTTCTCAGCTTCTTCTGCTCGGTTTCGCATACCAGCAAGCTCCCTGATCGGCTCCATGGCAAGGCTATGGGCAAGCACAAGTGACCGAGCTTGAACTTCACAAAAATACTTCCACTTAGACGCCGTATCTAGATTATTCAAATACTCGCGACCTTGGACCGAAATTACATCCGGGCGAATAAGGCCTTCAGCTGAAACCCCTTCACTCAGAAAGGCTCGAGTCATCAGTGTTGGAGGCACCACGAGAGAGCTCTGAGAAGACCCAGGAAGGGTTTGCTGCTTCAACTTTTTCGGCCTCTCTGAACGATCCTTATCTTCTTTTCGCTTATGACCACTTCGATGAACTTTTTTCCCCTTATGACCTCGGTGCCTCCGTTCGGCTTCAGGGGGCACGCGTGCATCAGTCACTGGTCGTGGAATCGAGGCGACCCTCGAATTGCTACCTCCAACCATCCCACTCTGCCGAACTTGTTGGGTGCGATTGGCCAACAAATTGCGAATGCTAAACTCATCACCCCCGCTCGTCACCATAATGCCTGCAAGAAGGACAAGTCAACATCAATAGGATTTTTGTCAAAACATTATGCTAGAAAGACAATTACCTATTAAATCATTATCCCATCGGGGAGAGTCAATCAAATTGATCAACCGCTTTGTCGGCAAACCCCGAGGAAGCTGTAATAGTAAGTCGAGATCCAATTGCTCTTCGGGTGATAGGTCTTCCCTCGACAGGATATCATACGGTCGCGGAGTAGGTGTCCAATAGAACGGAAACAAGCTTTCATTGTTTTCATCGCAAAAAAATCGTCGACCGTTTGGCCGAATGGTTATCCTAAAAAAGCCAGCTTTGAAATTCTTGTAAGACGAAGTGAAACTGTCGAATAGTTGTCGATCAGACACCCTGTTCAATGACAACCACTTCGCTAGATCGGTCGGTCGGGTGTAGTAGAAATGAAGAAACAACCAAGGGGAAGGCGTCACACCAATGCACCGACATAAATTGTTGAATGCTTGCATTTGTGCCCAACTGTTCGGGTGTAACTGGGTCGGCGCCACATTCAAAATTCTTAAGACCCCCATTGTGAAATCGTCAAATGACAACTTCACGTCAATGCCGAAATGCCGAAACGCTATAAAAATCAAAAGGTTTTATTGAAAGAAACAAAAATCCATTTCGGCAATTGACAAAAAATAAACATAACGTTAGTTAAAATAATATAACAAATTGTTTTAACGTTAAATATATTAAAAAGTGACATGCATATATTAAAAAGTGACATGCATCTGACCATATGATATTATTTATCAATTAGCATATATGCTTAACGATCATTTTCATATTTCATTGACTATGTGTACTTTTTCAACAAATTATAACGCCACATCCCCATTTGATGAAGGCCCCTCTTGATCAAAAATGAACACCTAGCTTCCTGCTTCACGCCAGCCTGAAACGTGGCTTCGCAAGACAAAGACACGGGAAAATCCTTGAGGACTTCGGCAATCTTCATCTCATGAGAGCGAGCAATAAGCAACGGCTTTCGCAGCGTCTAAACCCGACAACACTCCTCTAATTAATTAGCCTTGGATTCGACTCTCCTTGGATTCGATTCTCTCCCGGACTCGGCACCTTTGATACCCGAGTGTGCTAGACAATGCTCTCGGCCAATTAGTTCGGCGGCCTCGGTACTTGAGGAACGTTTAATGTCACTACATGACACCAGCGCACTCGACACCTTTGACACCCGAGTGTGCTAGACAAAGCTCTCGACCAATCGGTTCGACGATCTCGATACCCGTCACTACATGACACTAACACACTAGTAGTGTCGAAAAGGGAGTACCGGTAATAAGCACATTAACTAGCTTCAACCATGAATTAACAGTTAATCGTGGATATAAAGTAAGTCACAGACGTATTACCTAATTTGGTAACCCTAGTGCGGGCCCATCAGGCACAGGACCCATTAATATCAGTATAAATAGTTCACATCTCGAAGTAACGTCACTGTTCATTAATTACTATTGATATCTGCGTCTGTTTTGACTTGAGCGTCGGAGTACCTTTTGCAGGTACCTCTCCCTCCCCGAAATATTCGATTGTAGCTCTCGTTCGACCCTCAAAATACGAGAAGATTACTAGTGTGCTCCTCAGACAGGTACAAAAATAAAACTCAATTGATTGGATATGATATATTAGTGTTATAAATATTTTTGGTAGCATGTAAAACAAAAAACTGATCGCGAGAATTATTGTACGAATTTCACAAGTGACGGAAGAATGACGTGCATCACACTTCCACCATTCTGATTTCTGAGTCTCTGACCTTCTTACTAGGAAAGACTAAGAAGCAAACATCATTACTTATTACTAATTGTCTTCCAAACGCTCATGAAAATGACCAAATTAAAAAGGGTGTTTATTCTATTTTGTTTCAACTTTGAATCAGTTTACAAGAAGGCTAATTTTCTTCGGTTATTAATTTGGGTCGATTGAAAATTGATACTCCAGCAATCAATATTTAATTCATATCCTTTGCACAACTAAAACGACCTCTTATGCTGCATCAGAACTATGAAATTTGTCCAAGTCCAACATAAAATGGTTAAGTGACGTTCCTTTCTTATCCTCAAATAATTAAATCCATCCCATTCTTACGTACGTTCCTAGTCTTATCCTCAAATAATTAAACTATTTTTTTCCATGTTACTCCGGCCATAACGCATCAAGAATATCCATAGCATGATAGTAAATAGAACGGATTAACTCAAAATAATTGGGCAGCACAAATTTTTAATTAATTGAGATATTAACTACTTTTATATAGAATTTTCTGAGACTGTATTATGATCATTTCTAGTATTTGTCATATCTTCCTAAGCCGTTGTCCAAGATCAAATTCTGCTCTTGTAAACAAACTCAGGCTCATTGATCATTATCACACACCTTAAGCTTGTGGGGGAGTGTTAGAAGTTAGAACTTAGAACGTATAACCTCTTCGCCATAATATTTAAACTCTCTACGTGCATAATTATATATTTCTCTAGTCTCTATAGTAGACTAATCCTTTCCTATGTAACTCTTAAATTTGTTTGTTTTCTATTATAGTTGCGCTTACTATTAGCATATTTGATTCATGTACTATGTACACCATTTCAACATTATTGCCATACCTTTTATGGTTATTTAAAATCAATTGATGCAAGTTGTCGAAATTGTCCCATCTTTTTTTTTTTCTTTTTCCTTTGTTACTTGTCACTTGCCGCTTCATGCTTTTCTACTTGTAAACACGAGCATGCATTCATATTCACGTAAAACTCGTGGCCACAATCTCTCATAAAGATGCACTAATGAAAAAAGGAATTTTAATGTCGGTTATTCACGTAAAATTTAAGTTTTAATATCGATTCTATTGTTAAAAATGTCTTCAAATTCTAAGTTGGTTGTTGCTTTAATGGACTTATAATATGAAGATATATTAAGTCAGTTAAAGTTAAAATCGACTTAAAAGTTAATATTTTTTTAAAGAAATATTCTATCTATTTTTGTGGCATATCAAATATTTGATTACAATCTGACTTTTTTTTTTGGAAAATATTGATCTCATAGAAATCTCTATAATCTCTCTATAATTTTACTAAAAAGAATGTATTATAATAATTTACTAATCAACAGACCTTTAGAAACCTTAATTTTATAATAATTTCTAATAGACTTTCAGGTTGAATCTAATCATTTAGAGTGTCTATTTTGTTTGTTGTAAGCTACCAAGTGAATATGTTTAAGGATATTCTTTGTCTTCACTCACTCAAAGCAAATTTGTTGAAGTTCTAAACAAATTCTGCTTACTTAAGCACCTGGGATGCTCGTTCTGAGTGGTCAGATGTAATTTTCCAATGTTACTCTCTATCTTGACTTGCTTAAAGCGAATTTGTGACAACTCTAAATGAATTATGGTCGTTGAGAGCATCCATGTTACCTGTTCTAAGCGAACTGATGTAGCCTTTCAATGTTGTTGTCTTTCTTGGCTCCCTTAGAACAAATTTATGGTAGCTCTAAGTGAATTTTCATAGCTTGGAGCGACGATTTTGTGTAGCTTGGAACAATGTCTTCCTTTTGAAACTTGTAGCTTCCAAATTATCTTGTGTTCCATTTCAACAAAGGAAAACATAAAAAATAATAATAATAATAATAATAATAATATTTAAACAATTAAACTAAAAATGAAATTATCTCTTAATTAAGTGTTTTGAGGCTAAAAACAAGATTTAAAAGCATAATATAAATCAATAATTTCCTAAATTGAATAAAATATAAATGCATATTTGACAATTATCAATACTCAAGAAACAAAAACAAACATTACCATCATCATTGTTGTTATGTCACCACCTCACCCTTTACTACATTGTCACACTATTGCACCCTACTATTATTGTCATTGCTTACCACTACTCCACACCTTAGCACTATTATTATCATCGCCTACCATTACCTCAAATCCTACCACCATTGTCTCCACCATCATTATTATCATTACTATGATGATTGTTGTTGTTGCCACCAATGTTATTGTTGTCCACTCTTCCCTTCCTAGTAATAATTGATCAAGATTTATCATGATAACTAATTTTTTTTCTATAATTAGGAGGTATAACTCTCTCTCACTGGGTTAACCTATATAAGTAAAGTGATTTCTCCAATTGCAACTCCATGTATAACACAAGGATCGAATCTCAATCCTTTGTTAAGAAACAAAAATACTGAGCCACTTTTACTAATAACTTTTAGTGATAACTAATATTAAAAAAGGTACAATAGTAAATTTAATACCATTTTATTTGTGTTGTCTATTGTTTATATATCAAACAATGTACAAAATAAAATATTATTCAATAACTTAAGTATTTATTCATATTATTCTTTTTGAATTATACCTCAATGTATATCAAATTGGCCCTAAATAACCTAAGTTGTGATTTATCACAACTTATTAGTTTGATTTAAAAAAAAAACAAAATTTTTAAATTGAAGTTAAATTTAGTTATTTAAATAACTCATTCAAACTTTATGAATTTAAATTTATAGCTTTGTATATATTATCTTTAAAATTGTAATTTTATTTAAGGATAATTATTTGACTTTTCTTGAGTTTACTTATAATTTTACTTACATTCAGCTTATTAATATGAAAATTCACACATATTATATATTTTATTAATTTTAAAAGGAATAATATATATTGGTACATTGATCTGTGGGAGAGAATATGGGTTGGAAAGTTTCAAGTTTGACTTCGTCCCAAATCAAAGATGAGCTTCATAATCGATTCAAAAGGATGAAAGCTACTGGAATACTTCAAGATGCAATCGGGAACAGTTGAGAGAGAGAGAGAGAGAGTATATTTTGCCTTTATAATTTTTTTTTTCTACAAATTAGGATGGAAAATTAATATAATATGAATTGAAAATTAGGGAAACAAAATGCATTTAAAGTTTAAATCGAAACGGATAACATTTTATATGTAATTGAAAACCGATATGATATGTGTAAAAATTATTCTGGTGTTTTTTTTTTTTAATTTATGCCACGAATTTTTAAAATGGTGCAGTTTTAATTGAAAATTTTGGAGTAAATTAAAACAGATTCATAAATAAGAATATGTCCATTTTTACGCATAATGGGTTATCGATGTATAAAAAGATAGTAAAACTAAAGTAAGGCAACGGTATCAAATTCTGCAGCTATGACAATTGGATTTTCGTATTGTTGCTGTCACAAAAATAGAAATGGTCAAACATTAATGAAGGAGGACAAAAAATATGCTGGGCCTAAAATAAGGTCCAATTTTCATATAAGCTAGTTTAGGCTTCGCAATGTGCCCAATGTGCAGACAAAGTTGATCACGAGTTTGAAAATCAAAAGTAGTTAACTATGTCTTTTAGGAAAAATTACAATTGACAGCGCAACTCATTTTTGGACTGGACAGACACGATGATGGTAACATCACACAGATAAGCATATAACTCTTGAAGACTGTGTCTGAAAACGAGAAAATTAGATTGTTTTAAAATTGATTATATAATTAATTTTATTATTATTATTATTATTAATTATAATCAAAATAAAATTTTATTTAGATAAGCTTACTGATATTTCGTACCGTTGTCATTAAAAGTTAGTACTAAAAATCATGCGA